ATCGAAGTGCATGCTTTCACAGAGCTCTGCTCTTTCTCCCGCACTCCAGGCGGCTCCCTCTGTCCGGCTTCCCCTGCCTGCTCCCCTTGCCGTGGGACCTGGCTGTGGCAAGAAGTGTGTCCTGCTCTGAGGAGTCACTGGACCCCTGCACCTGAGACCTGGAGGCCAGCCCCGTGGGCTCAGCTCAGCTTCTCGGCGCCTCTCGGCCCAGGTGAGGGAGCTCGGCAGGTGCCTGGAAGCCCGGTGCACACCTCAGTCCTTGCTCCATAGCATGCCTGGGAGCCCTGGCAGTCACCTCTCCCCGGGATCTTCAGGGCCAGGTGACCACGTGGTTTAGGGCCACAGAGTAGATGCCACTGGGATGCTTGGGGGTGGTATCAAATCCATGACCCCCCTCCCCAGCAACATGTTTCCATTTGTATTAGTCCCAAGGAATGTATCCATTTATCAATTTTCCATTTTATTTCTTCAGTGCCCCTGAGAACATCACTCCTGTTGTCATTTTCCTAACACCCTCCTCTGCCAGGAGCTCTGATATCCGCTGCCGTCTTCACACTTTCCAGGGATGTACCCGAAGCAAAGCTCGAACATCAGCTGAGTTTACTACAACAGGCACTGTGCCAAAGACTCCACAGCACGCTTTTTCCTTAATCCTCGTAACAACTCAGAAAGGCATGCGTTATCGTGAGGTTCTGAGAATGAAACAACGGAGTGTAAGAAAGTTAGGAAGGAAGGCCAAGGTCACAGACGAGGCAGGAGAGAGACAAGACTCAGATGGCCAAGCCCATCTTTCAATCACCGCCTGCCACTGCTGATTCTATGAGCTTTCCCAGACTCCTGCAAGATTGGGACTGTTTGGGTAGCCTGATTTCATTCAGAGTTGCATTGGTGTGTGTGTGCACACACATGTGTGTGCGTGTGTGTGCATGTGTTTGTGTGTGCGTGTGTGTGTATGTGTGCATGAGTGTGTGTGTGTGTGTGTTGGAGGGTGTCTCCTGTGACCTGCTTCTAGCTGGCCTCCAGATCTACCTGACTCCATGAATGACTTAAGTCTTGAACTGGAGCCAGTCCTGAGCCCCGGCCCAGGCCAGGAGTGATCAGCTGGGCTCTCTTGCAAAAGTCTAGAACTGCAGTCCGGGGCAGAGATGTGTGGGGAAGAGGGAGAAGGAGGAAGGGGACCTCTGCAGGCCAGCAGCGGCCGTGTGATCACCAACTCAGGGCACGGAGCTCACTGTGCCAGACACTGCACCTGCACCCTGTGGAGCCCACTGATCCGATTCAAGGGCCAGGCTGCCAAGGGCCTCTCGGGCAGAGGTCAAGGAATCCCAGCTCTGCCAGCGGATGAGACAGCAAAGAAGGAAAGGGCCAAACAGCACTACAAGAGTTGTCAGGTGGAAAAAAGAAACACTTTCGATGCTACCAAATATATAGATAGATGGATAGATATATGAATGGGGCGGACATTTGGCATGCTGCTGGGAATGTCAGCATCCCACTTCATAATGCTTGGGTTTTATTCCCACTCTGCTCTGATTCCAGCTTCCTGCTAATGTTCATCCTCAGAGGCAGGAGGCAGTAGCTGGATCCCTGCCACCCACACGGGAGACCTGGATTGAATTCCCGGCTCCTAGCATTGGCCTGACCCAGCCCTGGCTGTTGTGGGCATTTGTGGAGTAAAGCTCTAGATTGAAGATCTCTTTCTGTCAGCTCTCTCTCTATCTCTCTGCCTTTTAAATAAACATAAATAAATAAAATGTGAAGGGCTGGCTCTGTTGCATAGCAGGTAAAGCCTCTGCCTGCAGTGCTGGCATCCCACATGGATGTGTCCCAGCTGCCCTGCTTCCGATCCAGCTCTCTGCTATGGCCTGGGAAAGCAGTGGAGGATGGCCCAAGTCCTTGGACCCCTGCACCCACGTGGAAGACCCAGAAGAAGCTCCTGGCTCCTGGCTCCTGGCTGCCCAGCTCTGGCTATTGCAGCCATTGGGGGAGTGAACCAGCAGATGGAAGACCTCTCTCTCTGTTCCTCCCCTCTCTCTGTCTGTAACTCTACCTCTCAAATAAATAAATAAATCTTTTTTTAAAAAGTATGAATGTATATGTGCTGGCTCCAAGAGATTAACAGGATTTGTTTAAAAAAAAAAAAAACTAATTCTGAGCTCGCTAGAGGACTCACAGCCCGAGTGCACATTGAGAAGCTGTAAGATTCCTTGTAAAATGCTCAATATTGGGAGTCAATGAGTGTGACTGTTGCTATAACCTCATTTAAGGACAATGGCCACAGCTTCCCTGAGGCCCTTCCCCAGTCTGAGGTCTCAGCTGTGGTCTCTCTGGACACTCTCTCCTCCCCTGTGTCCTCAGGCCCTAGACCCTTTGAAGACGCTCACTGCTCTGCACATTTTAGGAAGACAGAGCTCTGCTTCTCCACCTGGGTACCCACCAGTAGCACACAGGCAGCAACTGTGTCCTGCAGGGGTGGATGGAGCACTGCCCGTGCCCATGCCCTCCCTGCCCTAGCCACCTCACTAAGTCTGGGCGGGGCTGTGCACACCTGCCCTACTCAACCTGGTGAGCCAGCCGGGCCCCAGGTTGGTGCCTTCCAAGGAGCTCCAGATATGCTCCTTGTATCTGGAAAATTATTTACTGCGGTGATGTGTGATGCCTTTTTAAGAGAACAGATGGCACCTCCAATTAGAATGCTTTAAAAGGAAACCCTAATGAGATTATAAAAGCCAACAAATTGACTTTTTCATACAGTACTTTCCTGGCACACAATAAATCAAATATATAATGAGGCTCAATAAAATAATACCTTTATTTACACTTGTTTTGTCTGGCATCAGGTTGCACCCCAGCCCTGCCCCTTGAGTCCCCTTACCCGGCACCTGGTCCTGCAGGCCAAGGCAGAGGCCTGGCCAGGGCAGCCAGGGCAGCCATGAGTGGCTTTGATGTACTGCCTGCTGTCTGATCCCAGTGTCCCAGAGGAAGAGCACTGGTGACGTAAGGGAAGTGGCAGCTGTGGTGACACACAGGCTGCCCTAGCAATCACTGTCACTGGCAGTGAGGTGGGGAGAGTATGGTGGGACCACAGTGGGCAAGGAAGGCGTGCCCAACCCCAGACCTGGCAGCACCAGGTACAAGAGGGAAAAGCCCATGAGATCCAGCTTGAATGAGGGCGGACTCAAGGACACAGGGAGGGGGAGTGCAGAGAGGGTCTAGGAATACACCAGGTTTGGGGACAGTTGGTTCAAGTATCAATTCAGATGGCTGGAAGATAAGCCTTGAGAGACAGACAGGCGAGATGTGACAGCCAGGAGGACAGCTCCACTCCAGCACTCCGAGCATGTGGTCACTGTCCACTTGCCCTCTCAGTGGCCTTATCCACAGACTGGATGCTTTTGCAGAGTGAGTCTGCTGAAGCGGGAAGCTGGGAGGCCCATGGCTCTCCATGCATGAGTGGATCTGCAGAGCGGGCTAGGCCAGTAAGAGGGTCTCATGAGCTGGGTGAAAAGAAACGCTTCCAGGTGGGAAGCCATGTGGGCCCGGGCACATGCTTTGGCCATGACAGAGACTGGGCCTTGGGCTGGACACCCAGGCAGCAGTGACCTGGCATCATTAAGTGATTTCTAAAGACATACATGAACCAATAGTTTTCAGGCTCACTGAAGGCCCTCAGGGGCCTCAGAAATCAGTGGGGGAGACACCGCAGCAAAAATCAGGGACTCCAGGTGGCAGAAATGCAATCTGTTGTGTTCATGTCAGCTCACCAGAGACGGAGGTCTGGGGAAAATCAGTTTACAAGAGGATGAGCTTTTCCTCGGTTCAAATCTATAAGCATTGATCGAGCCCAGGGCCTTGATCTAGAAGATACTTTCATTCCTGCTCTGCACCCAGCAAAGGTTACACACACACACTACAAGGCCACAGTTCAGAAATTCTTCCACTCAGAGGCTGGTCATGCTTGCTGTCCATCAGACTGCAAGTGTGCAGGAAGCAGTCTTCTGTGATCTTCCCTCCTGGGTCCCAGGAGGGGTGAGGAAGTGTCCCTGCTCCCAAGGAGCCAATGCAGAAGAAAGTTCTAGTATGGTTGGAGTCTCAGCTGGAGCACTGACTCCCAAATACAATGGGACTATTGAAAAGGGACCACTCCCATTTCAGATCTGCAGCCCTTAGGGGAGTAACGCAGGTTCCCCAATGTGCTATGCAGGGAAGAGGCGCAGTGCATACTGCCTCCCGTGATGATGAGAAAGGAGAGCGGGAGGGAAAGCCCCCTCTCCTCATCCCTTCTCAGGGAGGAAGGCTGTCTCCACACTCTTGTCCTTCCCTATACAGAAGACAGTGGGAGAGTGGACGTAGCTGATGCATGAGCACCAGCCCTGACAATCTGTGCCTCAGAGGCTCATTCTGTGGTCAGGCCTCTGATCTTGTATTTTGGCAAGGACACAGGTGCTACACCATGGTGGGCACTGGAATAGACATGGGGAGATGTATCTATGATCCTGGCACAAACAGACCTTCATTTAGTAGTTAAGACAACTACAGAACAACTGGACAGTTAATAAACTGATGGAAGTTCCAAGGGAAGCCTGGCCACAGAGATACATGAAGACCAGTGAAGATAGGGGAGAGTCTCAGCCTTAAGAACCAAGAGCGGTCTCTTGGAGGTGCTGACTGGAATAGTTACTAATTGTTGGAATACCTAATGGATCTTGATTTTGTATTCAAGGAACTCTGTGGCTGAGATTTTTACCATCTGGCAAGCAGAAGTCATTCTGCTGGGGTAGGAGGAAGGCTGCCTCATTTGGGGAAAGAAAGACCATCATCTTGACTTTGTACCCCTGGGTGGAGGAAAGGGCCCTGTGCCTGCCCAGCACAAGAGCTGTCCATTTCAGCACCATGGCCAGCATTTCTACTTTGCACAAAATGGAAGGGAAATGCCTTCTCTTTCCCAGCCCAGAACCTCTCCTTGAATAGCTCCCCATGCCAGAGCTTTAGATACTTACTAGTGCACGCCACTTCCGGGGGGTCAAAATCTGCTCTGTAATAGCCAGTCCGGCAGGTGCAGATGGGAGACGCCTCCGAAGGGGAGCGGCTGTTGGAGGGGCAGTGGGAGCAGCCCTCAGCTTCCTGGTTGGCCTTGAACGTCCCTGCAGGGCAGGCTGGAACACAAAGAGACCATGTGAGAGTGAGTGGAAGGGTGGCAGCCGGAAGCCCTTCCCGGAACTAGAGCGTGAAAGATTCTGCCCTCTTGAAGGGACACCCAGATGCCCCCTTGCACCAGGTGAGCATCTCACATTGGGAAAACTCATATTTAGTACCATCTGATCTCCAAACACCCATAGTGAGAGACAACCATCTTGGCACACATGACCTCTCTCACTTGAACAACCCAAAAAATTACTCTTCCTTTTCAGGTGTGTCCAGAGATTAAATTTTGAAAATTAATTCAACACGTAGCTCAGTGGCTGGGACATAAATATCCCTTGTGCCTGATTAATGCAATTCCCTGAATCAATCTTGTCTTATGGCCTTAGACAGAGAGAATTCCTGGTTAGTGATGGGCTGGATCCATGGCTCTTAAATGCCATGTGGCAACCCACAGAGGGACACTGTGAGTTGTGTTAATCAGAACTTGTTATGAATGATGATAAAGGACTGAAAACTTTGAGTGATTCTTTAAAAAATAAATTAACATGATTTCAAGGTTAATACCTTAAGAACATCATTCTCCCTTAATTGCATTTTGATATGCTTTTGGGGATGAGGCAAGAAAAATATGGTTTTGCAGGCAGCACATGAGGGAACGAGTCATGAACTTGATGTCATCTATCACACGCTCGGCAGTGGGAAAAGTTGGGAGCAGACGGTGCATCTCAGTACCCACTGGAGGTCGCCTCCTACGTGGGGATCCCCTTCCTGGTGTCCTGTGGGACCAGTGCATGGTGATGTCCTGCAAAGTCTGCCTCCCAGCTGCCCCGCAGTCTTGACAATGTCTCCTCTACAGAGACCCCCAAGTCCAGACACCTGCTCTCCTTGCTGAGCCTTTAAAAGAGTGACCCTGCCGGCCCCTCTTGCCCGAGGTTCTCTGTCACCATCTCAGCTCCTGCTTCTTCCTGTGCTCAGGAAACCTGCCCCGGCTCATCCTCTCTTGAGGCTGCATAAAGCTCACTGCCCCGTCAACCTCTTTGGCCTTATCACTGCCCTCACATTAATCGTGCGCCTCCTGAGAAACTGATGCAAGGAATTGGGAGGACAGAGTGTGCCTTGAGGAGCTTGTGTTCCCAGTAGTCACCCAATGATCACACAATGCAATTGTGGCAGTGGTGAGTGTGCCACCGTTAAGAGTTTATCCTTACGCGAAGCTCATCTCCCCAAATAGATTGTCCCCTTCTGCAAAATGCACAGTACTCTTTAATAATAGCAGTAGTCGCCATCTGCTATCTCGTCTTAGGAAGTGCTTCACTGGCACTATTGTATGGAGTAGTTATTATTATCTCCATTTTACTAATGAGGAGAGTGGGACATGGAGAGGTTAAAAAGCTAGCCCGCATCACACAGGGGGAGCAATGTTAGTGAGGAGCTGCACGCAAGCTGTGGAAAGAACATTCACTGCTTTTCAGGCGAGACAAGAGGGAAGCGCTATCTCGTATGCTGTGCAAGTTTTCTCCCTCCATTGCTCACTGCAAGTGGGGAAAAGATTTCAGTTGCTGTGGGCGCGCCCCGAGGTGGGAGCCCCCAAGTAATTCCCATGGCATCTAAGCTCTTTGTGTTGTGAACGCCAATGACTTACAATAGGGCGCTGTGGTCAGATGTTTTGAAAACGCGGCTCTAAAAAGTTAATTTGATTCTGTATTGCAGACTTTCTCAGTACTTCCAAATCCGGCAAATGGAATGCTATGCTATCCTGTAACCCGTGCAAAAGGGAGCCACTTACTGGCCCATCTCTGCTCATTCAAAAGAAACCACTCCATAGAAAGAAAACATAATTTGAACCTTCACTAAGGACCCAACAAATAAGACATCCCAAAGGAAAACATTGAGCTCACTTGACTACTACCCTACCTCCCAAGCCTGCTCAGTAGAGTCTCTGCTCCACCCCCTTTCCTTTTCTTCCTCATCTCCCGGGAGGAGTGCTTGGCCCTGCCCATGATAAATCCCAGTGGTCCTGGGCCTCACTCAGGGCTGGAGCTGAGGAACAGAGAGAATTCCAGCCCTGGCTGCCTGCACTCGAGGAGCTTCCTGGAAAGTGGGGGAGGGGAAGTGGTGACTACTCCTTCATTCATAGTCCTTCTGGTAGCTCTGTAATTTCCTTAATGTATCAGTCCAAGAAGAACAGGGTGTTTTCACTTTCTTTGCAGCTCTTAAAAGCCTCCTCACTTCCCATTTAATAAGTTAACAGCATAAACAATCATGCCGATATCTACAAAAAAGCAGAGGGATTGGGAAAGTGCCTTCCTGTGCGATCTCTGATGCAGGAACGCAGTGTTTTGTGCTCCAAGGTGACCACAGCAGGAGGACGGAGAAGCAAGTGGCTCCAAGCTGCACTTTAGTGGATGGCGGCTCAGAGACACAGGTGCTGGGAGAGGGCGGGGCTGACTCCATCTTCCACAGAGGAGGGGGCACTGAACAGTGGCTGAGGGGTCCTGGGCACTGACTTAAGTGAGCCCTGGAGAATTATAGGACCCCTCAGAGGCTCAGTGCGCTCATCAGTAGCTCATCTTAGCTTAGACTTTTCCAATAACTCCATGGGTCATCAGAACTTAGTAAACTCAGCATGATATGAAGCCAGCCTTAATGTGTGTGAAATAATGCTGATTGCTCTTCACTCCAACGTACCCACCCCCTTTAGGAAAACAGACTGTGTTTGCAGTGGCTTTTATAATCCAGGGTCAGAATATACATTTTGAGTTTCAAATCAGGCAAATAAATCGTGGAGTGAAAGGGAAGGATGTGTTTCTCCTTAGATGACTTCTGATTGGGATAATAGGTGAATCATTGTATCTATCAAATATACTTTAACTGTGATTGCACAAAGGATGGATATTCAGATTAATATTCAGATTTCATAAATTAATATCCTAATAAAATCTGTGTGCAGGCATTCCCTAACTTACAATGAAACCGTAGTCCTAAATTCATTTTTAAACTTCTACATTGTAACTTGTAACCACTCTTGCACCATATTTTCTCGCAGAATTAATGCTTTAAATTATGGCTAAAGTGCCAGGCTTTGCTCCACAAAGTCTTTTGAGCTCCTCTTGTATCAGACAACACTAATACTAAATAGACATTAACAATATTGATATTTTGCTAGAAATTTAACATAGAAAAATAAATAAGAATACAAAGCTGCCACTTGAGCAAAAAAAAAAAAAAGGAAAGCAGCTTTAATTAGAGGTGATAAATGGAGTTCTCAGGAGATTCTGACAAGGAACATCTAGGCCAGAGAAGCAAATGCAAATGGCCTTCCACGGGCGGTGTGGAAAGTGGCTGAGAGGGACACGATAGGGCATAGTGGGGACTCTGGCAGCCTGGAGACTGCACACCTGCTGAAAACAATTAAATACTGTGAGAGCCTAATCAAAGCCTTCCAGTCCTTTTGAGGTGGATGACCCAGTTCTCTGCTTTAACATTGCAAAACTTGGGGATTGCCTTTCTCTTCTGGGGAAATACAGCCAGCACCGTTAGTATCGTTAGAAGCCCCTCGTTCAACGAAGGTTCCCTGAGCATTTCCCACGAGCCAGGTGGAGAGGGTGGCAGATCTGAGGAAGTGCCCTTCCTGGCTGGGGAGGCAGAGCCCGGAACCTTGATTCTGATTCGTGCGTGTGTGCCGGGAACCGGTTAGCCGGGATGTGCACCCGAGAGGAGGAGGAGGGTCTGCAGAGCATTTTCCAGTGGAGGCCAGGAGGTCACGTTCAGGGGCAGGGCAGACCACGCAGAAGGGAAGAGGTGGAAGAACAGCAGAGAGGGGACGGGAAATTAGGTCTGAAAGCACCCAGCCTAGGACCTCAGCGGGGGAGGTTTCATGGCTGCTCCGGGCAGAGGCGGCAGGCACCTGGCTGTGGAGTCCAGCAAAGCCTTCGGCTGTTAACGTGCAGGGCGGTCCATTTCTGACACAGGTGCTGCCCACAATTGCTTTGCTTCTCTAAGAAAAGGGAGCTTGCTTCCCGCCATGGAGCAAGCGGTCCTAGCTCAAACAGAAAACTGGAAAGCTGGCAGAGCCGTGGCTTGTGGGTAGCACCCGCACGCAGCCTGATGTCCTGCCCGTGGCTTCGGCAGACGAGGAGACAAGACCTGCCTACCCATCCCTGAGCTTGTGCATTTCCCATTCGCCAGGCAAAACGAACACACATTTCCCTCCCCCTGGAAGCAGAGGGGCTCCTATGCGTCACCTTTAACTGGTATCCTGGAGGTCACCTTGAAACGCCCACCCCGCTCCTCGCAGCCTCAGCCATGTAACAAATTACCGGCTGCTTCCACCGCTCTCGAGAACGCCCCTCCCTCCCCCCCTGCACGCAGACTTCCAGTGACACTGAATCCATCACCTACAGAACTATTACTTTATAAAGAAACAGATTAAGTGTCTCATAAACAGTGCAGTGATTGAGATAATGGAAAGCGCCGCTCGTCCCCATCTGCAGCATCAGGTTATGAAGCGTTTCCAAGCAGCCAGGAAGAGGAAATTAATAGAAGCAAGAGGGAATAACCACTTTTATGCAATTTCCTCGGAGATAGTGGACCATCTTATCTTTATTGGGGCCCTTTAACCTGTCACTCAGCACTCACCACAGCCTCTTTAGCTCCTGCAATTTTTCTTGATGTCGAAGGAAGATAAGAGGAAAACCTCAAAACATTATTTGATAATTTTCAAATGCGCAGGGTGCCCACTGCCTCTGCCCCTCCCCCCGCCCCCAACCGAGGCCTCAGAACCCAGCGATTTCATGCAGCAGAAATGTGGGCGAGCTTAACCATTGCCGGAGTACGGTCCAGAGGGTCAGAGCCACTCCGCAGGAAGGCAGTCTCTCCTTGCATTTTAAATGCGACTCTTCTCTCCGCCACCGCCTTCTGTCCTTGCTCTTTCTTTTTAATAATCTGATTACTTCTCCTGATCTAATTTCTCCCCCAAATGAGTTTGCAAAGGTTCATGCCAATGAATATT